AGCCAAAACACATTAACAACGGTATTTGTTTACGTTTTGCCTCAAACAGGAAACAGATAACAAACTCTAAAACATGACTCTAAACCGAGCAACACAACTCATTCCGGAAACAAATGAAATTTTATACATTCTTTAGAAAATCAAATCTATACGTTTAGGAAATACTTTCTGTGATCATAAACATGACAATTTAGTACATATAATCTGTTTACTATTGTTATAACTCAAAATAAAGACTTTACACTGAACTCGAACCACGTGACTAGACCATGCTGCTGCATCAAAATATTCACAAATACATTGAAATTCACCTAATCGCAATATTTCAAGAACAAATGTTTTATATCAAACATATCATATATAAAGGAAACAGTTACAAACATGTTAACATGTATAAATTTGAGTTCTTACCTATAAAGAACAGGAGAGGTGAAGCACGTTATGTTTATTTGGCGGGTTTCAGTAGTTATAAAGTCCAACCCAAAATATACCCCACATTCCGGATTTACAATATGATATATATAAACTATATAACCTGATAGATTATACAAAAAAATGGGGGGTGGCTGAAACCCAATATAAACTACGTCACATATTCTTAACCAGATTTCCCCCTTGTAATACCTATTGTGACCCAATCGTACCCTACGAGTCAAATTGGACAATTTAAAATCTACACTACCCCAGGATGCTTCCACATAAGTTTCAGCTTTTCTGGCCAAGTTGTTCTTGAGAAGAGGATTTTTAAAGTATTTTTCCTAAAAAATTCTATGTAAAACTTTGATTCCCTATTGTGGCGCCACCCAACCCCCATGGGTCATGATTTGACCAATTTAGAATCTATACAACCTCAGCATGCTTCCACCTACGTTTCAGTTTTTCTGGTCCAGTGGTTCTTTAAAAGAAGATTTTTAAATATTTTTCCTATATACAGTAATTCTATGAAAAACTTTGATTCCCCATTGTGGCCCTACTCAACCCCAAGGGGACATGAATTGAACAATTTCTAATCTACACTACCCCAGAATGCTTTCACATAAGTTTCAGCTTTTCTGGCCCAGTGGTTCTTGAGAAGAGGATTTTTAATGACCCCACCCTAATTTTGTCTTTTCTTGATTATCTCCCCTTGAGAGAGGACCTTCATTTTAATAATTTAATTTTTCTTTCACCCAAGGATGCTTTGTACAAAGTTTGGTTAAAATTGGTTTGGTGGTTCTTGAGAAGAAGTGGAAAATGTGAAAAGTTTACAGGCGGACAAACAGACGGACGGACGGACGACGGACAAAATGTGATCAGAAAAGCTCATTTGAGCCTTCGCTGAGGTGAGCTAAAAAAGCAATGATGAGAATGGTAACTATCACGTGAAAGTAACTTCTAGAGTACATGTGACTTTATACATGTAGTAATTCATTTTATTTAAATATTTGAACATTTTATTATACCTAAAATTACTATTATAAATGCCAAGTTTACGAATTAAAAAAAAATTACTAACAACAATCTGAAATCCATTGAATGACGCTTTGATTCACTTTCATACCAATTGTTAGTCCATTATTTATACACTGAATTGACGACGGATTTTTCCGTTATTTCACAATCATGACAATGAGCACACAGCGGGTGTGACCGGTCAGCAGGGGATGCTCACTCCTCCATGGCACCTGATCCCACCTCTGATGTTTCGGAGGTCCGTGTTTGTTCTGCTCCTATTTTGTATTGTTTTATGGACTTTGATATTGAATACTGTTCGTTACCTCCATATCCTTCCTTTAGTAAAAAACTTTGATTTACAATAGTAAAATATTTGATAGTAATTTTTGTTAAGGTTCTTCTGTCATTGGCAACTTTATTTACCTCTTTTGATTCCAAAGCTGTGAGAGCAGCAGCAAAATTAAATATGTTCAGAATATTCTTAGAAAGGTAGAAAATGTAACAAAAAAATAGAATGGACATCAAAACAGTTCTTCTGGCCAACAGTAGGTTAAGAATACATATGAGTTGTTTATCAACGATTTATACAACAAGCATCTCTTATTCAAGTAAAGTATCTATTTCGCTGCCCCCTTTTTCTGAATTTTTACTGCATGGATACTTTGTCTTCCTTCTCTGCTTTAATTTTTATCAATCAACAATTTCAAATTCAATTTATTCACTCAAATCAATAGATGATAAATGAGGTTCTATGTACAATATTTACAAAAACAGAATACAAGATACACATGAAATAAGGGAAATACATTTAAATGATAAAGAAACCAACAAAAGAAAAAAAAACTAAGGAGGACAGACTCGTACAGGTACCCTATATGTGTAGTTGTATAGCTTGATTAATACCCAGGAGTCGATAGTTGACAACAAATTAAAAAAGATGTAAAAATTGCATATTACATGTACAATGTTTACTATATTGTTTAGCCATTTTATATCTAAAAAGGCCGAGGGTAGCGTCCCATTTCGCCATAAACCATATAAACAGGAGTACTACTTCTCAGTTTAAAAAAAATTCAAAGATTAAGAATTTGTGAAACTCGTAGAAAGTGTATATCATTGTCTAAATTGTTAAGCCGTTTTATCATTGTCAATATTGTTATTAATATTAATCTTGTCGCTAAGGATAAAAACAGAAAACAGATGCTTGGCTTAAGTGAAAAGGTTTTCACCGCTGATAGAAAGCTCAGCATGATCTACTCTTTGATTGTACATAAAACAATTTTATTAATATAAGATGCTGCTTTGGACAAAAATGATAGTTTAAGCAATCAGAAATGTTTAATCGATTGATTAGAGGTCATATGACTGTATAAATTATCTTTAATGAAGAAAATTTAATTGTCAAACTTCAAAGCAATTGTACAGATTACAAAAAAGTCAACTTCTGCAGAAAAGGAAAGGTGAATAATAACTCAATAACCAATATAAGTTTCACAATATAAAAGTAAGTTGTTAGGGATCTAAATTCCTACACCACGTACATGTACCCATCAAAAAATTAGAAATATATAAAACAAAAACCGATGTATAGAAATCATTGGACATTCGAAGGGGAACTATCCAATTTGTGACACAGTTAAAAAAAAGAAAGAAGTTCTTATACGAATTGGTATTAGAAGACAGAATTCTGATTCAGACGACAACTTCCCCTAACAACATTATTCAGATCAGAAGTTTTTGGAACAATAAAACTTTTTACCCGTTGTCTGTGAGGGCCTGGGATGGATTTCAATCAACCGTGACGATGACGTTAACGCGAAACAGAGTCGTGTTACGAGCGAGTTATTCGTCCTGCCATCTCTTAATTCGCCACCTTACTACCACAAAAACCGCCATTTATACACTAGACTATTATAATCATTACATTCACACGAAAAATGAAAGAAAGCAATTCTGCAATTTGGTTTTTTGAGCCTGTCAACTTATTGTTGTGTTCCTCTCACTTGCGCATGCGCGCATCGTTTGACTAATTTTTAGGCGTGGTTATCCATGCCCAATATAACCAGTGTTTTAATGATAAACACTCCGATGAATTCCATGCAAAGGAGAATCAAGGTTGTGACAGATGTGTGGGAGAGACATTGAAGATAATGAGAGTTTACGATTTTCACTTTTGGGGGTATTGTCATATGAGCTTCAATAACTCATTATGAATTATTCGACAAAATCAAATGAGATTTATATCTTTTTGAAAGATGATTTTAAAAGTTAGATAGGAATACCGAAAAAGATTAAAAGAAAAAAAATAATTCACTCAAAAGTTTACCCTGCGTTTCTTTTTCCTTTCAGTAATTAAGCAGAAATTATTACAAAAGGAGAATTCTCTAGTTGTCGATTGATTTAAACATTGTCGATTGCAAGGCGTAGTGGTTAGAGCGCTTGCACCGGATTTACAGAGTAATAAGTTAATCCTTACATATTCCTTTGGGTTGGAATCCTGTCGCGGAACCTGGAGACTGTTCCATATTAATTCAGGTTCTATGTAGAAACAAGTGATTGCACGAAAAAGATGACGATCTGCCCAATGAGCCTGAGTGCTGAATGCTGAGTAAAGGTCTACATTTGCAGCCAAATGTGTTGTTGCCTCTTAATATTCGTGAAAAGACACGTAAAACAACAAAATTCAAATATCAAATATATCAAGAATTGTTTTGGCTATAAAAGATATTTATTTTCAGTGTGTAGATTCAAGTTGATTAGCCATATAAGTATGTGCTTGTTTAAAAATAGAGACGCTTTTCATTTTTCTGCGATTAGACACTGCTTTTCCCAAGAAGAATTGCATCTATTCCTCGATTAATTTGCTGCTTTTCCCCCGAGTTATTTTGCAGTTTAAACAAAAAGTAAGAAGCAGGATAGTTCATGTAAAGCACATGAAAAAAACATATTTAAAATCATTAACTCTTGATAAAAAAGCACTTGTTCTGGTCTTTGCATAAAAATATCCACGAAACTAATACAAGTATGCAGAACTTTCACATACCTGTGCGTCCTCCTCATAAAATTTGTTTTTGTATAAAAGATAATCATACCATTTAAAACCTAATACATTTATATACCAAGATGTTTTATTTTGAAAAGAATGTCGGTCCTTTTTACGCATTATAAGATCTAATACTCCATTAATCCTGTATCTACGTAGCTGTATAGTTCTCTCAATTGCAAAAAAAGATAAATGAGTGTGCACTCATTCCGATTTTTTCTTGTAAATTAAACATTTAATATCCAAAAGAAATTTATTATTCAAAATCAAAACCTTAAAAGTACAGAATCACCTTTTTATACCGTATCTTTGATTTCATCTGATCGGATCCACGCTCTGTGGAGGACGTATATGGAGAAACATTTATTTTAAATGTGCGGGAGATGTAGAACAACGGAACATTTAATGAAACAAGGTAAGTGTATTTTATTTTAAAGGGAAAAAGGAGTGATTCCATTATTTCCGAATGTTTAGAATCTAGTCAATAAATATAGCATTGTTTTCTTTTGGTTGCATTATTAACATGGATAAGCGCCATGACAGGAGTAAGCAAATGGTCACATTGTTTGTGTTTTTCTTTTGCTGCAGTCCAGGTTGGTGTGCTTTGGTGAAACTTTTAAGTATTCTTAAATTCTATTTTAATACTTAAAGATTAATCATTGTCTCATTTGTTTGTGTCATGTTTAAACAAGTATTTGTATGAACCTATGAAGGTCTTAACAAGTATTTGTATAAGGTTAAGAACATGCTTTCCTTCTTCTCTATTAATTTGTAATATTTTAAATTATATGATTCAATTAAATATTTTATAGGCAACTTTTATTCATGTAATCCTAACAAAAAAGTAGCAACCTTAACTATGATAGTGAAAAGTTAATATTACGTTTTTTGAACTTTGAACTTCATAAATACCCAAAGGTAATTTCATATTAATGCAATAACTATTTTGACAGCCCAAATACCAATCAAATTCTAATTTTTATCCCATAATCCTCATACACTAAATCACCTCTTCTTATTCTCCCTCAATAAATAAAAAGTTTGTTAAAGTGTCGTGTGTTGCCTCTTTTGTGACGTTAAACGATTAGTTTAAAATTCTCAAAATTATTAATAACAGTGACTTGTTTCAGCAGAAATAAAATATAAAGATGAAAATTAAACCAATATTTTGTGTAAAGGAAGGTAATCCTTATTTCCAGTAAATAAAACTTATACTTAACCGAAACATCATGAAAATGGTTCTGAAAACGCAAAAAAATATATTAGAAAAAATTAAAACCAAAAAATGACGAAGACGTGATAGATAAAGGTAAACAAAAAAACTTGAAAACGTCCGTCCTCTAAGGCTGTAGTTCAGAAAAGAGATAGAGTGACGTATCCCGTGGCCAGAGTGTTACTTGTTACATGCCGAATAGTATTTAATATCAAAGTCCATAAAACAATAGAAAACAGAGCAAACACGGACCTGTAAAACTTCAGAGGTGGCATGAGATATATCTTGATGTATATTTTTCTCTGAAGACACATTTCGTTTGCTTATACAATATAATAAGATATAAAGTTTTTAAATTGTGTATTTATTCTTTGCGTCCGATTTGAGACTTCAATATTTTAAACAATTGTAACTTACAAAAATAGAAGTTCTTGCGAAAAATGTTTATCTTTAGTTACAGTTTTTGCCGCCAATGAATATTGCCATGACGTCGGCAATGACGGGGAACCCGTCTTCATCAGCCCCCCTGGTTCCGGAGCCACAGTGTCTGTCAGAGAAGACGCTCCCCCGGGGTTTCTGGTGTACCCGTTGAGCGCCACAGACACGGAGTATTACGAACTTGATACAGTCATTCCTGAGTTTGGACTCAGTGGAAACCAGATTCTAGTTACCGGAAATCTGGATTATGAAACAACAAAAACGTACACTTTATATATTAGGTAAGTATCATGAATGCGTGAAATACTACAGCACAGATCGCAGCCACAGAATAGTATGAATCGGAACAAGGGATAAATTCTCTATAGCTTATTTAATTTGTAGCAACCTATAAACTATACGTGGTAGGTACGAACATCAATTTAATAATATATTTCAAGTATTATGATATATACGGAGAAAACGAACAGTTTTCAAGCACAAAAGTCAAGAAAACAATTCAAAATAGAAGCAGAGTAAAGAAGGACCCCCAAAACATTAGAGGTGGGATCAGGTGCCATGGAGGAGTGAGTATCCCCTGCTTACAGGCCAAACCCTCTGTATGGTCCATGTCATGATCGGGAAATAACGGGCAATCAGTCATCAATTCTGTGTGTGAATAATGTTGCTACAATAAATATAAAAACAATAGTCAGCATTTTATTCAATGATAAATTGTATTTACTGACAAGGTAATTGCATCGACCATAGAACTTACTGCTAATATTTTTGTTTCATTAACTTCTTTGTCAATAATTTACTACGTTTTATAAATTGTACATACGTAGAGCATACTCTCACGTTTTGAATCAACTAAGAGATATAAATTTTGTATACAGGTGATGAAGGTATATTGCTTCATAAGTAGTTTACTATCGAAAGTCATCAAGTTTACCATAGAGCTTGGTTGTTGGATTACTATTAAAATCAGCAAGCAATGCATGTAAATTTAAAGAATATAAAAGTTTTATATTTCGTCTTCATTTTAGCGCATACGAATGTGTGTATGCTTATCCAGTGAAGAATAATATCACTATCAACATTGAGCCTGTTAACGAATTCTTCCCAAGATTCACCAGGGAGGTTCTGTATAAGGATATCAACGAAAACGAGGTACAAGGTACGTGTAAGATAATGTGGATTGTACAATAACTGTCCATTAAATTCATGACGAATGCTGTATTATTTATCACAATGACCACAATGACACGGAAAACTTTGGTATACAGACCATGATTTGATTTTGACAATATTTTCATATGTATACATACATAAATAAATTTGGGTGGCAGCTGGCAACCTACATAAGACTTGTCTAAAGACCATGATTTAGTTGAGATATAACAGTTTTAAAACATTGCATACTTTCAACTAACGGTGCATGTGTAAAAAGAAAATGAATATGCAAACCACAAGGCGTAGTCTAATGTAAGAAAAACTTCATAAAATCATCAAAAAATAAAAATATTGAATTTTTATTAATTGTATGTGACATACGCTACATTTTCTTTATTTAACATACGTGTGTGCATTAATATTTATACATGCACATGTCTTTAAGACCATATATATTTTAAATTTACAAAATTCAAATCGATATATGTTTAATTTATGATCAAAATAAGTATGAATACTTTATTTAGCGCTGTCCAGTCCGACGTTGCACTTAATATAAAGAGTGTCAAGAATAGATATATTCTATTTTCTTTTCAAGTTCATGATGTGTTGTGATCATTAACATTAGATCGCTCTCTACAATGATGGTTAAAATTACAAAGACTTGTTAAAATTTCAAATCTAAATTTTTTCCATATTATTTTTGCAAGTTGAAATTTTACATCGATAAATATGCTAGACTTCTCACTTTAATATTATCTATTATAAAAAAAATGTCTATAGAAACTTACAAGGACATTTCTTAATCATTAATTCTTCCATAAGCATTCCTAACGTCAGTGATATTTTTAGTATATTTATAAATCAAGACCTCATATTTGAAATATAAGGTTGTGATGGCAATTGAATACCATGTTGATTTCATATAAATATTGCCTGCAGTTGAGTGTAAAATTGAAAATTTTCACCCCAAGAAAACCATTGTCAGCCGAGGCGCAGCCGAGGTTGACAATGGTTTTCGAGGGGTGAAAATGTTAACTGTTTACTGTTGCTACGCAGGAGGGCGTGGCTTCATTATTCAGCGCGTAGTAGTCTTTTTTATCAAATGTTTCTCGACGAATCAGATTAAAGTAATTTACATGAAAGTATAATATAAGAAAATGAGTCACGTGTGGTTTGTGTGCGACTAAAATTAAATATTTGAATACTTATTTTCTGTAGATCATGATGTGACCGATCTTACTGATCTCGTCTGTTCTGATCGGGATCAAGGTCCCAACCCGGGGTGTTCTCTATCCATTCAAAATGGCGACGATCCCATCCAAAAGTTTAAACTCTCCGGAAACCGGATCCAGACAACAAACACTGCAGTTGACTATGAGTTGTTGTCGGGACAGAATTTTTTATATTCACTCACTGTGATCGGCGTGGATAATCCTAAAACAAATCCCAGTAAGACCGGAACAGCCAGAGTATTTGTAGACATCAACCCAATAAATGATAACGGTCCGAAATTCCTCGCTCCTAGTTATAATGCACAGGTAAGAAGATACTTCATATTGGTACAGGTACTTCCAATAAAAATCTGCATGATATAGTGGCATACTAGGAAAAGTAACGATACATTTACATGTATAGATGATCAAGGTTCAGTGTTACAGTATATAAGTTTACAGGATTCAATTAAGGAATATACATTAATGTTAAAAAGTTCTCTGGGAAATGAACTTTTAGTTGGACACGTGATCAAATCCTATGAAGCGGAAAGGCCTTCTCAGCTGATTTGATCACGTATTAAACTAAAAGTTCATTCCCCAGTGAACAGGTGAACTTTTCAACATTTTAGTTTATTACTTGTATTTACATTTGAGACGAATAGATTTAACTGCTTTTATTATACGAACGGGTCGCCGTTTTGCTACATATGGTGTAACGCACAATGACCTAGAAGTTGTTTGGTCTTGAAACTTCAAAGGAATTTCGGATTGAAAAGGTAAATGCGGCTTTAGGCTAATTATAGTTTCCAAAGCCTTATTCACATCGAAAGATTAACCACATCTCGTGATTGAAAAATATCCATTTTGTTTATCATTTTATCTTTTCATCGTTATTAACTTAGAAATGTTCCAAAACAAAATATGACCCCTGACCCAAAAATAAAACTCACACATGACGCAGAACTGAACGTATTTTCTCTTCAATAGGATCATCTAAGAAAGATATGTGCGAATGTAAATTTTTTTTTTCTAAATTCATTTGATCTGAAGGTACATGTACATTTCGGATATTCTGATTAAAGAGTTAAGGACGTCTTTTGTCTTCTTTAATTTTTATCATTTTTCTGGAACCACTAAGCTAATATAAATTCAACCTGCTAATAAAGATTAAACCTGTTTAAAGGTGCCATTTAGGCGAAGGGTATTCAAGTTTGTTAATATTGTTAACAGAAAAGGTATCGAAAACCACAAAGGAAACAACAGGAAAAATATTTTTTTCCACATCTGAACGGGATCTCTATCAAAGGCATTCTTGGGAAATATATATGTCTTCAAATCATGACATAGGAAAACTCTTTTAAAATTTTCCTTTGGAGAACAATTAGTATTGTTAATATGGAAGCATCCTGGGAAAGTTAAGAATCCGGTTCGTTAATATCATCATCCTCTGAAAAGAAGGACATTAATATATTTCATACTGGTCTCTATCGAACTGATTTGCCCCCTTTTTTTTAAATTGCAAAAGTACCCAGTTGAGCATTTTAGGTTAAGGAACTCTTTGTACGCAAATGTTGACTTATTTTATATCGTAAGGAGATACCATAGAGTCTGTCACATTAAATTTGTGTCAAATTCTCTTCTTGAATGGAAATTGGCACGTTTCCTTTCTCTTTAAAATGAGTAGAGTAAAAGAATAAATTTAGGAAATTCAAACTTCACGTTGCAAAAAATGTTTTACTTACTTACTTACTTAGTTCTCTTCGTTCCTAGTTGAGCACAGGGCTACTACAGTCGTTCTCCATCTTACTCTGTTTTGGGCTTTTCTTTTTGCCTCATTCTATGTCTTTCCAATATCTTCAAGCTCTTTCAATCTTGTTCTCCTCCAACTGTGTAATGGTCGCCCTTGTTTTCTCTGACCTTGAGTATTCAAGTACAATGCCTTTCTAGTGATGTTTTGGGGCCTTATCCATGTATGACAATCGACTGCCATGCTCGTTTCATAATCGGGAGGGATGTTGCTTCTTAGCTGGTTCGCCCTAGTAGCTTTCATTTGATTTTTTACTCGGCCATGTCACTTTACAGATGTGTCATAGGCATTTTTTGGTAAATACCGGGATTTTTTGATTTAGTCCTATTGTTAGTCTCTAGGTTATAGGCCTAGGTCTATAGGCTTCGGTAGAAAAGCACTGATCTAACATTAGTATTAAATATTCTGTGTACAGGAACTCCAGACAGCTTTGAGCATTGTGAAGGCCTGTCGGGCTTTGCTTATACTAACTTTAATGTCTTCGTCTGAACCACCTGTATTACTAAAGATGGACCCTAAGTAAGTAAATTTGTCTACCTTTTCCAGTTCTTCCCCCTAAATTGGGATTGGTCCACTTTTTCTAGTCTTGATTTTCATAACTTTTGTTTTCTTTATGTTAATTTTTAGCCACATCTTCTTTCCAGTTTCATGCAACTCAATCAATCAATGAGAGATGTTTCATGTATCGCTTGCACTTGGTCCATACAGCTTCTGTTGGATCTAAAGCCTGCCTGTTCATCCCGTAAAACTTTATCCACCGCATCTTTCATCCTGTTTAGTATAACTCTACATAGGATCTTGCTTGCTACTGGCAGAAGGGTTATGCCTCTCCAGTTTTCACAGCAGCTTAGGTCTCCCTTTTTTGACAGTTTAAAAAGTAGCCCCAGGTCTTTTTTCCATTCTGTTAGTATACTCTCAGCTTCCCAGATTTTATTTAATAGTTTAAACAGGTATTCACTTATATCTTCTCCTCCGTATTTCAACACCTCTGGTGGTATACCATCTACTCGAGCCGCTTAACCATTCTTCAATGATTTTAATGCTTTCTTGATTTCCTGTTTCTTTATATTGTCAATCTTATGCTTAGGTCTTCCCCTAGTGGTAAGGTCACCGGTTGGTCCGGTTCTGGCCTATTCAAGACATCAATGAAGTGCTCATTCCACCTCTCCATTTGTTCATTTTGTTTGGTGAGAACTTTACCATCTTTGTCTTTAACCGGTTTAGACTTGCATGTTTTATGTCTACTTAATGTTTTGGTGATGTCATAGAGTCTTTTTTATCTCCCATATGGGCAGCTTTTTCTGCTTTTGTTGGAATTTGGTTAACATACTCTCTTCTGTCATTCCTGAATGATTTTTTTTCAAATTTCCTTATCTAAAGTTTGGTGCTTGGCATGGGCATCACTCTTTTGTGCCCTTGTTTTAGCGTTGTTAACGTTTTCTTTCATCTTACGCCTTTCTTCAACTTTCTGACATGTGGTATCAGACATCCATTCTATCTTCTTGTTGGGTTTCCTTCCTAGGACTTCTTCACATGTATTCTTGATGATATCTCTTCAAGCAGTCCATTCACCCTCAATATCTAGTTCCTGATTGTACTTCATTCTCTTTGTCTCAATTTTTTGCGGTTTTTTTTGTCAGTTTGATTTTCACTTTGGCTAGTATCATGTGGTGGTCGGAAAAAAACATCTGCTACTCTCATAGCTCTAACATCTTGCAACAGACTTCTCCATCTTTGACTTATCATAATGTGATCGATTTTGTTTTTTGTTTTACCATAAGGTGATTGCAAGGTCGTTTTGTGGATGTTCTTTTGAGGGAAAAGGTTTCCTCCTATCACTAGTTCGTTTGTTTCACAAAATTCAATTAGTCTGTCTCCATTTTCATTCCTCACTCCAATACCGTGCTTTTAATTACTTTTTCTCTGCTTTTGTTACTCTGGCCGATCTTAGCATTCATGTCACCCATCAATATTCTAATATCTCTCTTTGGGGTGTTGTTCCAAGTTTGCTGTAGATTTTCATAGAAGTTATCAATAACCTCTTCTTCAACCTCATTGGTTGGTGGATAGCACTGAATGATAGTAAAGTTTTGGCATTTAGCTTTAAGTCGCACCCACATTATTCTTTCGTTGACAGGTTCCCATCCAATGAGACCGTTTTTTTTTTTTACTTTCTTTGATAGCATTATTGCCACTCCTTTTGTATGATGATCATTTTTGTTCTCATTGCCAGAATAAAGAACTTCTTCTCCTCTACTCAGTGTTATATTTCCACTTTGATTCCATCTTGCTTCGCTTATGCCTAGGACGTCGATGATGTAGCAAGTCAAGACCACTATCTTATATTGAAAGCAGTTTTCAACACGTGACGATGTCTTCGTCACACCTGTTCTCCAATCAAGTGAATGAGTCCGAAAGAATGACAGTCTACTATGTGTTTACGATGTGTTTACGATTCAACGGCGACACATGGTTTTCGTCGGTTTACTGCACAATATTTAACTTGGTACTGGAAAAACTGTAAAGATTCTTTATTACTTTAAAAGACCGAAATTGAAAGATTATATTCTAAAGACATTGCTCAATGCTCAATTTTATATTGGAGCATATTGGAAACCGGGATTAATAATAATTGCACACCTTCACCTGCAGTCTAAAACCAAGGCGCTATATATTACCTGCTAAAACTATGTACACGCATATCACGTGAAAAAAAACCTGTTTTATCGACAAAATATCACCTATCTCTTTGAAAAATCTAGTGGTTTCGACCTATGTAGTTTCTCATTTCCTTAACTATTGTGCGCATCTTCCCGTCTCGTACGTGGTACGTACATTCCACTGCGCAAATTTTGTGAAAACACGGGTATCAGTTTGTTAAACGTCATTCTCTGTTTTGCATGGCGATCCTCAGTTGCATTTTCAATAATATTTACATTAGCTCCAACTCTTGAAGGGCAAGCATAGGTAGCGTCTATAGTAGTTTCTGCAATCATGAGTTTTTTTTTACAGGACAAGGTGATTAACCTGGTGCCAAACGCCCTGCCAAGGGATTTGTAGTCAAGGTCTACATCCTTTAGATGGGCTACTATCCAAAGCTGTTGACTCCCATCGAGCAATTGTTTGAATTTTATGTCAGAGATCCATCTCTTAGAAAGGTTGCGTACCATGGCTAATGATTCCTATCTAGCCGGCTATTAACCCATAGCTGGGGCAATGTTGATGAGTGGTAGGGCATGTCCAAATGCTGGTGGGCTTACACACTGCATATCTCGGGTCCTTGATACTCCGAGATCCCCTCCAATTTAGCCAAGGGTGCAAGGACCCTAGTTTACCGTGCATCGCCACGAGGAGGCATTGAGGAGTCTTGGTAGTGTAGGGGCTTTGTACTGGCGGGAGAAGATTTACGCATTCTACTTTCCTTTTTAAATACATGTAGGCTAGCCAGCGGCAGCAGTGGATCTCTAGGCGTTCGATCTTGCCGCACTTTAAGCATTTCACTTCCCTGTGTCAAGCCACCAATACACAAAGAAGAAATGTTTTGGTTTTAGAAAAATAAACCACTAATGTATCTAAATCAATAATAGAAAAAGTATCTTCTTTCAATGTTTTGCAGCCATTTCAGAGATCAAATCATAATTGTTGAAATCATAGACATTTGTATCATTCATTAAAGAAATGAATTATTTTATATATGCATCGGCCATCTGAAAACTTAGTTTGTGAAAAGAAAACTCCGAGTTCCACACAATACGTCTTAGTTTTTATTGATAATATTTTTGAATTTCTCATTGACAATATTTGGTAAAATTTGAAACCCTGGCCTCCAACAATCATTTGATATCCCATGGATACTACTATTGCCCTGTTTTTGTATTCTAAAGAAGCAAAATTTATTTATTATTATATCTAACTAGGAAATCAAATAATTTGATGACAAATATAAAGCAAAACAAAACGACAAACGTGTTAACAAATCCTTTCCTTCTTAAACTTTCCATACTTAACTGACAAATCTAGAAGAACAGCACGACTTGTAGATCATATACCAAGAATTTCATTTTATATTTTTCTACAATATTCTTTTCTTCTCTGCAATAAAAAACTTTCTTGATATTTTACTTTAATAAAAATTCATTCTGTGAAGTCGTTTTGATTTTAAAACAATTGTAATTCAAATCTAAGAATTGTTTTTTAGTTTTCAAAGCTTCTCTAGCGTTTACATTTTAAAATTTGCCTATATTTTTTTTATTTTGCTGCATTAACTTGTTATTGTAATATTTGTCATTTCCTTTCGACCGGCACTGAATTAAAATTTCTAATGCATTGTGACGTACATCAATTTTAACTTCTTCACGTTTGAATTTAAAGAAAAAAATCTTTACAAGTACATGTACATGCTGTAATATTTCGAGATGTATAAAAGGATTTATCCATTCAACAGATACCGGAGAGTGCCGTACCGGGTACGCGGGTTTTAAACACCTCCGCTGACGACATCGATCTCGGTCTTCACGGGACCCTGACATTTACCATTAGAGGTATCACAAAATAAGACAAATCAAATTTTATTCATTTTATTTTATCGACTTTTGATCTTGAGCTGTAATTTCCATAGGTTTTTCGTATTATAAATGATATACCAATATTTTATCCCTTTATTCTGGGGTATGAATACGAAACGAACAATATATTGGTTTTCCTTTGTTTTCTCTTGTGTTTCCTTTAAAATTTCCTTGATATTTTATGCAGTTCAAAATCTTATGTATTTGTAGCTGGATTTATTGATTGATTGTATATTGTTTAACACTGAGTCGGCATTTTATTTCAGCTGGAAATGAGGAAAACAGGTTTTACATCAACCCCAAATCAGGTGAAATTTTAATACTTGCCCCCCTTGATTTTGAATCTAAATCAGCTTACGAACTCACGATCAGAGTCACTGATGGAGGTGGACGATATGACCAAGTTAAGGCCAATATTGCCGTCATTAACGTTAATGACATCCCTCCTGAGTGTTCAGCCAATCAGAATGTCGTTGAAGTAGACGAAATCATTACCACCGGAAAAATTGTAAGCAAAACGTAAATTAGAAGCATACTTAGAATTCAAATCAAGTTGCTAGCAATATTTATGATAAACAAAAGACATCATGAAAACAAGTATACGATTATAACAAATACCTCATTATATTGGTAAGGAAAGAAATCTGGTAAATTTGGTAAAGCCGTTTTATTTTAGTAATATTGATAACATCTCTCTCAATATCAGCAGTCCCGTTTAAAGTCATCATACCAGTTCTTTGGTCGATACAATGACCTTGCCAGCAAATACAATTTATCATTGAGTCAAATGCTGACTGACGTTTCTCATACCAATTGTTAGTCCATTATTTATACAATCAATTGACGACGGATTTTTCCGTTATTTCATGATCATGACAAATGAGCACACGGCGGATGTGACCGGTCAGCAGGGGATGCTCAGTCCTCCATGGCACCTCACCCACCTCTGATGTTTCGGAGGTCCGTGTTTGGTCTGCTCCTATTTTGTATTGTTCTATGGACTTTGATATTGATTACTGTTCATTATCTCCATATTCTTCTCTCTTTCTCGTTCGCTCTCATACAGTCTCTCGCTGATGTTACTTAACAAACTGGAACATTGAAACAGGAATTTGTTG